TGGATGAATGAAAAAAGGAACAAAGGACAAATCTAGCCCGAATACATATGTGATAGAGGAAGTGGACTCTGTGAAATGAGCCTGGGGGAGGGAAGAGATGGAATGTGGGAGATGATGGAAACAGTGTCTCTGAGCAAGGAGCACTGGACACTCAGATGTACAGCCTTTTGAAAAAGAATATTTTAGTTTTTTATTTTTATTTTTTTTTTCGGTCATAGGTCTTGAACTCTGGGCCTGTGCGCTGTCCCTGAGCTCTTCAGCTCAAGGTGAGTGCTCACCACTTGAGCCACAGCACCACTTCCGGTTTTCTGGTGGCTTATTAGAGATAAGGGTCTCACGACCTTTCCTGCCCTGGCTGGCTTTGAACCTCGATCCTCAGATCTCAGCCTCCTGAGTAGCTAGGATTACAGGTGTGAGCCCCTGGCACCTGACAAGAACCTTTTTTAAAAGGACAGAAAATGAGTCCTTCCTTGTTGATGGTAAATTGGCCTCATTGTCACTTCTGTTTCTGGAGTTTGTATATCCATATGGTTGAGGAACTTACCACTCATTCATGAGACTCACTATAATGCTGAATGTTCAAGAAAGACATTTCAGCACTTAAAGTAATGTTTTGAACACTGAAACAAATGTTAGGTTTTAAATAAAGCCCCAATTTCTTACAAAGTTTATTTTGTACTGACTTTATTGCTGAAGCTCAAAATCAGTGCCAGAGAGTACCCAAAAACTTTCATCCACATGGGATTAATATCCTCACACAAAACAGCAAAACATTTGTCAGGGTGAGCAAGGCCCAAGGCCACTCTTCTCAGCGTGAAGGCTATTTGCACCCTGTGTGGATAGTGTCCACTGTGATACAATAAATCTTAACTTGTTTTTGTTTTCTCTTCTCTAATTACCAGAGTAACCTCTTGCCTGATAAAAACATCAACAGAGATGAAGGAAGATGGATCTCAGCTGTCCTCACCACAATCAACACAGAAAAACTGGTTTTCAGGGTCACTAAAGTTTAGCCTATTTATATAAACTTATTATGTGGCATTAACCCATAATTTATCAGTGCAAGATGAACAGTAAGCTGCATGACAGAGAAATGCCTATCCAGATCATTAATAATTCAATATATTGAAGAGTTTATTTTTGTTGCTGAAGTTAGATGGTACAGTATCTCAATATATGCAAAGACAAATACTTGGACTAGCATCATGCTCATTTTACCTCCAAGATGTTCTAAAATGTCTGTTTTGTGAATGTTCTAAAGCCTTCACAATGAATGATTCCATATTTCCTCAATCTGCCATTTTGAGAAAGCACAGTTAATGTCTTCCTGTCTCATTTAAGCTGATTTCCTCACATTGCTGGATATGTATATATATTGTATGTATATATATCATATATCATATGTATTTATGTATATATATATATATATATATATATATATATATATATAATATCTGTTTTAGGTCAAGGGACCCATTCAGACTTTGGAAAGGTCCAATGCAGAGCTTCCCAGATTAGGATCCAACATTCCCTTTTGGAAAACCACATGTGATTGGGCAGAGGTGCATAGTGTTGTTTTTGCGGTATAATGCTAGCCAATGTGGAAAGAGTAACCACACTAACTTCCATCAGTGAATGTTTTCAAATTTCCAAAACACTACAGACATTTTGATAGCCATCCTGCTCTAAATAACAGTGAGTTGTGCATCTTGTCTGTTTTCTCCCTCAGTGAGGGAGCTTAATCCAAACACTAAGACATGATCTGGGTCTTTCATTCCAGATCCCTTATTAAATGAAGAAATTAGACTGGGGTCTAATTCACTTCTTCATATTAGCTCTGAGAAAAAGTAAGCAAAATAAACTTAAGCTTTAGGCACTTGGACAATAGTCAACTTGATTTTTGTTTTGTTTTGTTTTTAACTCGCAGATGTTTATTATTTATTTTATCATTTTGCCAAACCAAAGTTTCCTTAAACCAAGATCTATTTCCTTCATCTAAAATAAAAATAAAACAAATAGCATCATTTGATATAAATAATGGATCTGGAAGGCTCAAGGTTAGAATACTTGCCAGAATCACAAATCACTGATAGAAAATAATGGTCTTTTTATTACTGAAAAAAATTAAACTAGCATCTAGGCTGTTTAAATGTTAATAAAAGTTAAGTTTGGAAGGATTGGAGTTTGTTTCAGATAAACATCTATTTTTACAAAAAAAAAAAAAATGATCCAAAACTGTTCTCTCTCCAGAATGAGGCTCCAATCTGATCAGCCCTGGATTTCCTACAAAGCTGGTCTCTTCCTGTTTATACTCAGCTTGCACTCTGCAAGGAAATGGTGTCTTGTAACTGAGCAATACCAAATCCTTCCTTCCCTTGCTCTCAAATTACTCACGAGTAGTAGAAAAATGAAATGACTTAAATATGTTTCCATCTTGAATTATCCAAATCCAAGATGTGTTTTCCATATGTATAAACAGATGGTCCCTATAGCTCAAAAATACATGCACATATATAGCATAAGTGCATTATTTACTTGTGATTGATATATAGTTATATGTGCATTTATACAAAGTCAATTACTAGAATTGTTTTCTATAAAACATGTTTATCATTTCTTTAATTTTATAGGTTTCTGAGGATAGAACAAGTTTTGTATGCAATCCCTATGCTTTAACATAAATAACTTTCACAGGCTTTTTCAATTCTTGGGCAGGGTTGGAGCCCATCAGTTATATTAAGGCAAGCTTTCCAATTTTTTAACTTAGGAAAAATTTTAAATGTTTCCATCCCCTTTATGGGTCATAGTTCTTAGCTGTGGAAGTCCTCTGATGAATTTGTAGGCCCTTTTCAATGTAAAGAGAGGGAGAAGATGTCTGAATTTCTGAAGAAAGTTGACAATCCAACTATGGATCTCATTTGTTTAAACACTTGGCTCTCTTCCTTTACTATGTATATAATTGCTGAAATAAATTTATATAATTGCTGAAATAATAAATTTATTTATAATTTTATATAATTTCTGAAATAATTTTGCTATCTTTTTCCTTTTTAAAAAAATACTTTTTATTGTAAAAATACTGTACAGAGTGGCTATAGTACACGACCAAGGTAATGAGTACATTCCCTAATAAGCATTGTTACCTCCTCCTTTGTTTTTCCCCTACTGTCCCTTTCCTCCCACCTCCACAAACTATACTTCCTCCCTCCTCCCCCCCCCCCCCGCATCTGCCTGAATTTCATTTTTTTAACATAGTGTCTTATACATCTCATTGTTAAAATGGGTCAACCTGTATCCCTATTTTGTTTTTTCCCTTCCCCTCCCCAAGCTAGAGAAGTGTATATACAAGAGGCAGGGCACTAACATCAAATACAGTGAAGACAGGGGTTTTACTGTGGGGGAGGAACATACAAAGAAACAAAAAATCACATGTTACATTATAAATACATTAGGAACAATGTCAAGAAAGAAAAAAACTGCTTGTGTCCCTTTCTTGGAGTTCATTTCACTTCACATCATCTTATATGATCATATGTACATAGCTTTTTGACCTTTTCTGCTTGTCCCAGACATATACTAGTTATTGCAAATAAGGGAAACCATAGGACCTATGTTTCTTTGGGTCGGGCTTACTTCACTTAATATATTTTTTTCCAAGTCTTTCCATTTCCTAACAAATGGGGCAATATCATTCTTTCTGATGGAGGCATAGAATTCCATTGTGTGTGTGTGTGTGTGTGTGTGTGTGTGTGTGTGTGTGTGTGTGTGTGTGTATGTATACCACATTTTCTTGATTCATTCATTTACTGAGGGGCATCTGGGTTGGTTCCAATCTTAGCTATGGTAAATAATGCTGCAATAAAGATAGCTGTGCTCGTAGCTTTAGTATAGTCTTGTTTGTGATCATTTGGGTAAATGCCCAAAAGTGGGATTGCTGGGTCATAGGGGAGCCCTATGTGGAGTCTTTGGAGGAACCTCCATACTGCTTTCCAAAGTGGTTGAACAAGTTTACACTCCTACCAACAATGTAGTAAGGTCCCCTTCTGTCCACATCCCCTCCAGCATCTGTTGTTATTAGAGTTCTGATTATAGCCATCTAACTGGGGTGAGGTGGTATCTCCAGTGTTGTTCTGATTTGCGTTTCTTTTATGGCTAGAAAGGTTGAGCATTTCTTCATATGTCTATTGGCCATTCTTATTTCTCTTCAGAGAAGTTTCTCTAAGTCTTTAGCCCACTTGTTTATCTGGAAGTTATTTCTTTGAAGATTTGTTGTTGGGGATTTAATTTTTTGAGTTCCAAGCATATTTTAGATATGAGACCTTTATCAGTTGTATGGCTAGTGAAGATCTTCTCCCAATCCATGGGCTTTCTATTGATCTTGCTACCACAGTTATGGAATAATAGTCCAGCAATCAATTTAGAAGAAGCAATTAAAAAAGTGTAAAAATAGAGTAGTGAGTGACACATCTGATATTCTGAAAAATTCTTTTTATTAACATTTTATTATTATCATTATTATCTTTAAGTAGTTGTACAAAGAAATTATGAATACAAGGTGTTTGACAACATTGTCACCCATCGCTCCTAACCCATCCCTTCTCTCACTTTTTAAAAAAATTAAGATTAGATGATTTCACATAAATTTCACATATTTCACAGTATTGTGGGATAGTAATACTTAAGGTCACAAACACATTTTAATCTTCACAAGGCAAATTGTTATTATCATGGTCTATAACATTTGTGAATTCTATACACATTGACACTACAAATTATTTCTTCCACATTAGGTGATGTTTACATTTCTCTACTTTTGCTTAGTGTAGGCTATTCCCTCTTTCCTTCTCATTTAAAAATGTCAGTTATGAACTGTTAAAAAGAAAGCAGTGAGATTTCAATGGGCTGGCAAAATATTTGTGAATAGTTTATGCTATTAAAAATACATATAGGCCGGCGGGCGTGAGTCTCGAGGGCGCCGCGGGAAGCGCGCCTGGGCGCCGCGTGATGCTCCGGGAAACGTCTGCCTGGCCTAGTGGGAGCCCAGCATGATTTCCAGGGAACAAGAGTATGTTGTAATTTAGTGCTTTTCCCCTTGTTGTCCTGCGTACAAAAATTCTGTAAATAGTAACCAGAGGAGTGCTGGTCTCATTCTGTTGGAGTGGAGGGAAATCTAAGTTTACTTCAAGGCGTTCGAAATGGGGAAAGACTATTATGGCATTTTGGGAATTGAAAAAGGAGCTTCAGATGAAGATATTAAAAAGGCTTACCGAAAACAAGCCCTCAGATTTCATCCCGACAAGAACAAATCTCCTCAGGCAGAGGAAAAATTTAAAGAGGTCGCTGAAGCTTATGAAGTATTGAGAGATCCTAAAAAGAGAGAAATATATGATCAGTTTGGGGAGGAAGGGTTAAAAGGCGGAGCAGGAGGTGCTGATGGACAAGGAGGTACCTTTCGGTATACCTTCCATGGAGATCCTCATGCCACCTTTGCAGCATTTTTTTGGAGGTTCCAACCCATTTGAAATTTTCTTTGGAAGACGAATGGCTGGTGGTGGTAGAGATAATGAAGAGATGGAAATAGATGGAGACCCTTTTGGTGCCTTTGGATTCAGCATGAATGGATATCCAAGAGACAGGAATTCTGTGGGGCCATCCCGTATCAAACAAGATCCTCCAGTTATTCATGAACTTAGAGTGTCACTTGAAGAAATATACAGTGGTTGTACCAAACGGATGAAGATTTCTCGAAAAAGATTAAATCCTGATGGGAGGAGTTACAGATCTGAGGACAGAATTCTCACCATTGAGATTAAAAAAGGGTGGAAAGAAGGCACCAAAATTACTTTTCCTAGGGAAGGAGATGAAACACCAAATAATATTCCAGCAGACATTGTTTTTGTTATCAAAGACAAAGATCACCCCAAATTTGAAAGAGATGGATCAAATATAATTTATACTGCCAAAATTAGTTTACGGGAGGCATTGTGTGGTTGCTCAATTAATGTGCCAACAATGGATGGAAGAAACATACCTATGTCAATAAGTGATATTGTGAAACCTGGAATGAGGAGAACTATTGGATATGGGCTGCCATTTCCAAAAAATCCTGACCAACGTGGTGATCTTTTAATAGACTTTGATGTGTCCTTCCCAGATACTATATCTTCTTCATCCAAAGAAATTCTTAGGAAACATCTTCCTGCCTCATAGAGTGAAGAACTTTGTTATCCATATTTTGATAAGACACTGAAAATATAAAAAGACTGGCAGTTTACTGATACAGATGTGAATTCTGTATAAAGATGTGTAAATTCTTTTGAGAGCTGATAAATTGCATGAATAAAGACGGGTCAAATATATAGGCAAAAGGGATTTTTACAGTTAAAGTGAAAACAATTCACTATATTTTCTTTTTCCCTAAATCAGAAATTTTTAGTATTTTAGTTATATGTAAAAGTTGGTTTTGTGAGTTGGTAGATATATTTCTAGTAAAGTACTATTTTACCCAAATACTTTATTTCTTATTTCATTAGATGTTCATAATCATAGGTTCCTATAATGGATATTAAAATTCTTCACTAAAGTATACATGTATAAATAATAAAGGCCCAAGTAAATTTGGAAATGTCGTTATTAGACTGAAATCATCTTGTGAAATGCTGTTATCTGGCTGGTACTGATAAAAGAATATACTGATACATATGTTTCACCATTTTGATTTTTAAAGTATGCTGTAGCATTTCTTAATAACATAGCTGTAATTTTCTTAAAGGTAGACCTTTTCTTCATAAAAATAAATATGGCAAATTATCTCCTGTGGAAATCCCAATAGCCTGAATTACTGATATTTTAGAAATAGACTTTTTAATCTATGCCAACAATGAGAAAAGTGTGGCTGAAATTAAGAAAGCAACTCCATTTGTAATAGCCCCACAAAAAATAAAATACCTAGGAATTAACTTAACTAAAGAAGTGAAGGACCTCTATGATGAAAACTTTAAAATCTTGAAAAAGGAAATCAACACAGAACTTAAAAAATGGCAAAACCTCCCATGCTCCTGGATTGGAAAGATTAACATCGTGAAAATGGCAATACTTCCCAAGGCTATCTACAAATTCAACGCGATACCTATCCAAATTCCAACCTCATTCTTCAAGGAAATAGAAGAGGCAATCCAAAAATTCATATGGAACAATAAAAGACCCCGAATAGCAAAAACGCTCCTGAATGGAAAGAACACTGCTGGAGGAATATCAATACCAAACTTCAAACTCTACTATAAAGCCATAGTAATCAAAACAGCTTGGTATTGGCATAAGAACAGACCTCAGGACCAATGGAATAGAATTGAAAACCCAGAAATGAACCTACAGACCTATAGCCATCTAATCTTCGATAAGGGAGCTGAAACAATAGAATGGAAGAAAGACAACCTCTTCAGTAAATGGTGCTGGCAAAATTGGTTAACTACATGTAGAAAACTAAAGCTAGATCCTTATATATCAACCTGCACCAGAATCAACTCCAAATGGATCAAAGACCTTGAACTCAAAGCAGACACTCTGAAAACATTACAGGATGGAATAGGAGAAACCCTAGGTCTCCTTGGCTCAGGCCGAAATTTTCTGAATAGAGACCTGGAAACACAACAAATCAAAGAAAGGTTGGACAAATGGGATTGCATAAAGTTGCAGAGCTTCTGCAGGGCAAATGACATAGCTAGCAAGATCAATAGAAAGCCCACGGATTGGGAGAAGATCTTTACTAGCCATACAACGGACAAGGGTCTCATATCTAAAATATACTTGGAACTCAAAAAATTAAACCCCCCAACAACAAATCCTCAAAGAAACAACTGCCCAATAAATAAGTGGGCGAAAGACTTAAAGAGAAACTTCTCTGAAGAAGAAAGAAGGATGGCCAATAGACACATGAAGAAATGTTCAACATCCCTAGCCATAAAAGAAATGCAAATCAAAACAACATTGAGATATCACCTCACTCCAGTTAGAACAGCAAAAATCAAGAACTCTAACAACAACAGATGCTGGAGGGGATGTGGACAGAAAGGAACCTTACTTCATTGTTGGTGGGAATGTAAACTTGTTCAACCACTTTGGAAAGCAGTATGGAGGTTCCTCAAAAGACTTCACATAGAACTCCCCTATGACCCAGCAATCCCACTTTTGGGCATTTACCCTTATTTTTACAAACAAGACCACATTAAAGCTACCAGCACAACTATGTTTATTGCAGCATTATTTACCATAGCTAAGATATGGAACCAACCCAGATGCCCCTCAGTAGATGAATGGATCAAGAGAATGTGGTATATATACACAATGGAATTCTATGCCTCCATCAGAAAGAATGACATTGCCCCATTTGTTAGGAAATGGAAAAACTTGGAAAAAATTATATTAAGTGAAGTAAGCCAGGCCCAAAGAAACGTAGGTCCCATGGTTTCCCTTATTTGTAATATCTAGTATATGTATGAGTCAAGCGGAAAAGGTCAGATAATGTGATGTCAGGAAAATGAACCCTTAGATGTGTATTTTAATGTTTTTTTTCTTTCATGCATGTGTTTCTAACACATTTATAAGATTATCTCTTTGTTGCTTTGTATGTCCCTCCCCCACAGTATAACCCCTCCTTTCACTATATTTGATGTCAGTATAACTTGTGGAGGAGATGGGGAAAAACCAGTTGTTTAAGGATACAGGTGGACCTGTTGCAACAATAAGAAGTACAAGTTGTCATGTCCAAAACGAGCTTTACAACGTTGGTGCGGGGGGGGGGGGGGGAAGGGGGGGAAGGGGGGGAAGGAGAAGGATTGGGATTAGGGGGGGAGGGGGGAGGCTGGGAAGGGATGTGAAGGGTAAACAAAGGAGGAGGCTGCAATGCTTGGTAAGAAATGTACGCATTATCCTGCCCATGTAACTGTAACTCCTCTGTACAGTATGTTCACAAATAAAATTAAATTAAATTTAAAAAAAAAAGAAATAGACTTTTTAAAATGCCATATGTAATTTTATGCAAGTTGATTATATATATCTTGGACTTAATGTATTATAGGCTCATTTTATTGTCCACTAGTTTAAAGTAAATTGTTTAATAATAAATGTGGTTTTAGAAAAGTACTATTATTTGGAATTAATTTCCAATTACACATTCTTCTGTAAGTTACTCATAGTATGCATATGTATCTTATAGAATTTCCCTAAAATGAATGAACCACCACTATGGTGTTAAATCAAAATATAGGGGAAAACACTAACTGCTGCTTATGGATAATATTGCTACTACTTGTTGTGCATATAAATACTTTACTTTTTCATATGTATAGATCACACTTCTTAGGTGTTTTAATTTTTTAAATATATTTACACTTAAAAAATACATATAATATTTCTCCCTGCTTTTTCCCTCTCAAACCCCCTACCCCAGAAGTTGGGGAATTCATTTTCAATGTAGTGTCAAGTGAGTATCACTGCTGAATTAGTTCACCATTTATCCCTCCATTTCTGTGCTTCCCTTTCTCCTTCCTCAAGCAGATAAACATATTCAGGACAAAAAGTACAGAATTCAAAAACAGTGACAAAAGGGGAAAAATGAAAAACAAATAAAACAAAACAGTAAAATAAAAAACTTCTTGTTTCCATTTCTTGGAGTTTATTTTGATAAACATCATTTTATGTGATCATATGTACCTATTGAGCCTTTGTGATCCTCTCTTAAGAATATCCTCCTTTGAGGAGGCTACAATGCTTGATAAGAAATGTACTCACTATCTTGCCCATGTAATTGTAACCCCTCTGTACAGTATTTTCACAATAAAAAAAAAAGAAAAAGAAAAGAAGGAGTGAGTCGGAAAAAAAAAAGAATATCCTCCTTTGGTCTCACTGAATGCTTAGAGTCCTGTTTAATTTATCATGTCCAAGTGTAATTTTTTTTCTTTTACCATTCATTGTGTTGGTTTCAGTGTTCAAAAATGAATGTACTAATTGCCTGACCTATGTAACTGTAATGCTGCTGTACATCATCTTTACAATAAAAATTAAAAATGAAATGAAATGTGTACAATTCTATTTTCAAGTTGCAAAGTGACAAAACCAAAGAAAAGGTTTTGCCTGTTGTTTTTTGTTTTGCTTTGTTTCATTTTGCAACATTATTATTTATTTGGATTTTCCTCCCCGTAAGCAAGTATGCCCACAAGGTCAAGGTAGCAAAGGAATCATTCAAAGATTAGCCCACACTTACTTGACTCTTAGTCTAACTGAATTATTCAGAGTCACTACTATCATAACAGGCATTTAGAAACTGCTTTTTCTATAAAGCACAGAGTCTTACTTGGGCCTATGAGTTAATCGAAAGCAGGAGAAAAGCTTGGTACATTCTAGACTTCATTTCCCATCCATCTCCTTGACTTTGAATCTCTGTTCTGCAATCACTTGGGACTTCAGGAAGGACAGGACTCATCAACAGCGTCTTTATGATGAGAGATGAAAACACCTCCCATGCAAAGCAGAGGCCCCTGGCCTAACGGCAGTGCACTTCCAGCCAACATGGACTGCTTTGTTGTGATGAGGTGCTGCCTGGCCATCTTGAGATACTGATCAACACATCACACCTTTGCACAGGCCTATTAAATAATTATACATACTTCTGGCTCCCTGCCCTGGCTCTTTCTCTATTTACATCCAAAGTTCCTGTGATGTACCCTGGATGGCAGGCTGCAGTACTCACTTTGTCTCTTTCAGTGGCATATCCCTGACATGTAACAAATCTCCTTTCTCTGCCTTTAATCACTACTGGTCTGCATATCTGGCAAAGTGGGACAAACGGCGGTACCACTGGAGTAAGCCCTGTAGCCTAGATTTCTCCAACACAACAATAGCATGGAAAATCTCTTTATTTGAAAACTCTGAGAAGTGAGAGGAGGACACTGGTCTCCAAGAAATCTCTTTGACAGCTCTGTCAGGCTCAGGGTTAGAGCATCAGCAGCTGGACTGTCTGTGGACTGTCTGTGCAGGTAATAACTCACTCCTAGGGAAATGCTCTATTTAACATGAACATTTCAATACATCACCCAGGAAATTGTTCCCATTTACAACTCAAACTGCAGAGATTTTAGCATTGCAGAGGTCAAATATGCACACTGAAATAGCATGACATATGCACTAGTCAGCCAGATCTGAGAATTAATTTGGAAGAGCAATACCACAACTGACTGTTTCTTCTCTGAAGTGAGTTTGAGAAACAGCTTCTCAGCAGTGGAAATTCAGCAGTGATTCATAAAGATGGGCTGAGATTGTCATCTGTGTTTGGAAAGACACCTCTGAAGCTGCTGGCCATTGAACTAGAGAGAGGTGCAGGTCAGAGGTAGAGCTTTAGAGATAGATGCCCAAGGCCACCTGGGAGTTGTGAGGTAATAGAGCTAGGAACACTGCAGAGGAGATGG